AATATCAGTCACCAAAAACTTTATTTTCAAAACATAGTCCAATTTTTTAAATAAGGAATTTCTGCAGCCATTCTGTAAAAGAATGTTCTTGGTCTAGCTAATTTTGTTTGGTCATTGACTGCATTGCACCCAACTGCTGTCTTTACTATATTCTTCCTGCCTATGAAAACAACACTGTTATTTCTTTGTTTTTCATGTCCTGAGTATTCTAGTCCAGGATCCTCAATTCCCAGTCCATGGACTGGCACCGGTCTGCAGCATGCCAGCAACAGGGCCATACAAACAAGTGAAGTCCCATCTGCAGGATGCAGGGAGCACGCAAAACCATGTCCCCTTCTTAAAAAGAAGACTCTTTTTAAAATCTGGCTCAATGTCCTTAGACAATTTGAACGTTTTCTGTGTAACCACACATACTGTCCTTGTATATTTTCTCTCAACTCATCTTTGTAAAAATAGATTTTCAAAATGTTATTAGAAGATATATATTATTCATAATAATAACATTATTTAATATAAATTAATAATATAAAATCACTCAGATAAGCAGAGTTTAACTCTAAACCAGGGGTCCCCAACCCCAGTTGGTGGACTGGCACTGGGCTGCAGCATGCCAGAAACCAGGCCTCAGAAACAAGTGAAGCCCCATCCATAGGATGCAGGCAGCCCATAAAACCACACCCCCTCCAGGGCCTCTGCTCTTGCCAAACAATCAAGCAGTAAACAATACCATAATCAAGGAACTACCAAGGAGAATATCATATCCCTACCAAAATTGGCAGGACAAACTACTGTATATAAACAGTGAGCAAATCCCCATGCATTCATAGTAATAAAGTTACCTAATTGGATAATGAAACATCTGCAAGCAAACTTGAAAACTCAGTACCAAGGACTCCACAAAACAAAAAGTATACCTATAGGCCATCTCTATGATTGTCTTCAAAATGCTAAATGCCCACTGAGGTGTCCCTGCCCCCATCTTTTCTGGCACTTAAGATGATATTTAAAATCTTTGTTTTTACATTGGCTTTCCATGTATAAGGTGTGTTAGGAAAATATTACATAATTTTACTGTAATCCATTTTACTGCATTTGTTGAACACATACAACATACATTTGGGATGCCTCTTTTATATTGCTTTTATTCTAGTTCATTGTCCAGAAATCTGGAAATGGGCAATACTGAATAAAAATCTAATAAATAACATTTGTGTACATACACAGGTGAGAATGTCACAGTAGGTGGATGCATCTAGTCAACATTGGCTGAAAAAGCTAAATATGATGAGACCTGGTTAATACCTATCAGGAAATTCCAGAATTGTTTATTAGTCAGAGAAAATAATAAAAAAACAATGCCAGAAGACTGCAATGGCAAACAATTTTGGTATTGATCATCATCTGTATTAAGCATGTCCATATAGTCAACAAGTGAATCTGACGCAGTATATACTTAAGTGGTATTTTGAAGTAACTTTTCAAAGTACTATGTTGGAAGAACCAGGACTTTTTTTTGTCATAGAATGCCCAGAATGGAGTTCTGGCACCTTTAGGCAAGGCGGGTTGTATGATCTGTGTGAGTTCCGGCACCTTTTTTTTTTTTTTTTTTTTTTTTTTTACAAAAAAAGCACTGGGAAGAACTGTTGTCAATTTATAATGCTAAAAAGAGTGAAACTGACTTGTTGTAAAGTCTGCTAAATACCACTTTACTAGTGTTATCTAGGACTGTATTCTAAATTTACATTATAACAACAAACAGCAAAAATTGCTTTCTTTATTTAGTTCATGGATTTATAGTGCCATTCAGTTCAACAAAGTGATATATAATAGAAACAAACAATAAACAAAGAAAAATAACCATACAAATAACAAACCAGGATATAAAATATAAAATAATGACCAAACAGTATCATTATCTAAGTAGTTTATTAATTGAATTAAGATGATTTAGAGTTGCTATCTTGAGTATACTTTCTAAAAGACAGGGCTGGCTTTTTATTTGCTCAGTCTTGGGTATTACTGGCTCTTTGGGAAAAAAAGTGGGTAGCCTCAGTTTTAATTTTTAGAGCAATGTTTCTCAACCTTGACAACTTTAAGAGTTGTGGACTTTGCCTCCCAGAATTCCCCAGCCAACATTCAGGGAGTTTAAGTTGACACTTCTTAAAGTTGGTAAAGTTGAGAAACGCTGTCTTAGAGGAATAAGCATAGTAGGAATGATGCATTGATTTGAAAGTACAAAAACCAGAAAACAAAAATGAGGATTTGCTTCTCCCATATATAGTCAGTAGAAAAGAAACAAAAAAAGAAGCATCAGGTAATGAATTACATTTGATTTTGTTTCATATACCTTTGAAATAGGATAAATGAGTTCAGTATAATTGTGCTTCAGTCAATCATTGTACATTAAAGGCTAATTGCTAAATCAACAGTAAACTGAACCAGAAGTGAAAAACAGTACTATATTTAATAAAAGTAATGATTAGAATTTATTTTAATTTTTTTAGTGAGTAAACAAATCTGCCTTAACTGACCGCCTGTGGAAAGTTTTTATTTTGATTTACAGAGTGAGGAATAAAATGTAGGAGGAGATTTTAAAAGAAATCTCATTCAATAAATGGTTGTCATGCTATTTTATGGATGATTATAAGGAAAAGATAAAATAATCATCATTCTGAAGCTTAAAAGCTGTTTTAGATGGCAATTGAAATGTGAATTGCTGAAGTGCCAAAAATGACAAACTCTGTAAAAACTGCAAAAGGTTGTCTTTATGGTATCTTGGATATTGTCTACATATTAATGTAATTATAATTTAATAATAATCTTCAAATATATACGTATACTCTTAGAATAAAATGCAAATTTTAGTTTTGAAATAAATATTTCATAATCAACATTTTACAACGAAGTACCAAAGAAACTGAAAGACAGTACCAGAGAACACTGATAAAATGATCTGCTCAGATAAAACACAATGCTTGCCAAAACAACAGCACATTTTTAAGGTAACAAAAGGACTTAATTAATTGCTAGAAGAAGAAAAGTCACACAGATATTCTTATGGTTTCTTGCACAGTCAACCAGATATTTAGATTGGATTTGGCATTTTTATCTAACTATTGAGTTCTTCCCAAGTACCTGGGATAGGCAAATGTTAATGGTTGATGGTATTAAAGATATCATTGCAGAACATAAGTTGATCTAAGTAAAGCTGCCTTTTGCAATTGACTGATGGTGATTTTGTCAATACTGATGATATTCAAGTGGTGCGCCAAATTTTTTAGGATTGCAGCCAAGACATCTATTACTGTTGGTACTATGTTTGCTTTCTTTTCCCACAGTTGTTCTACTTCTATTTGCAGGACTTTGTTTCTTGCGATTTTTCTCCAGTTCTTTTTCTTCTATTCTGAAGTCTTCAGTTACTGCCATGTCCACTATCAAGCCATTTTTGTTTTTCTTATTGACAGTTGTTAAGTGTGGGTGTTATATTTTATGTATTGGCTATGTAATACTTTGCCTTGCCATGTCCCTTTTCTGTTCTTCATTTGGTCTTTCTTGTGGGTTAGTTTGGTCTCTCTTATGCTTAATAAATTCATGGTATCTTCACTGTCCTTCAGCTATTCTTCCAACTCCCTTTTTTCTTCTTCAGTTGTCTGGTATACTTGCAACATTCCTCACAAGCTTAGTTTCCTTGGTAAGTAGAGTCTGTCAACACTGCTGCATGGATGAAGGGCATGATTATCATTATTTTCCTATCTAGGGCTTTTAGTTCTGTTTGAGTGCATAATTCCATAATTCCAATTGTGTGTTTAATGACTGGAATTGCCCAGATGTGAATTGCTTTGATGGCATTTCTGCCAGTAAGTTTGGATTTTAAGATCTTCATTTTCATGATGTACTCACTTCTAACCTTCTTTTAATTTCAGTGTGCTTAATAATGTCAGCTTGAGGAATGCCCAGGCAATTTGTAGTGATCATCTTCATCCAGGCTCTTGGTATTATGTCCATAATACATCTTGATTCTTTTAGTTTTCACTAATTTTCCCATTGATAATAAGGCATATTTGTCCAGTCCAAACTCCGTTGCAATATCTTGACTGTATGAACAGAGAATGTTGAACAGCAATTTTATTTCACACAATGTTTTTCCATACAGATTGTATAGCCTGGCAGATGTTTTTGCTGTTTAGTGGCCATGGTCTGGATTATTCAGTATTGTTGACAGAAGAATCAATGCAATAACAAACAGTTGTGGTGAGAGTGTGTCTCCTTGATATTAACCTCTACCTGTCTATCACCATTGATCAGCAACTGTATCTTCCACTGTGCCATTAATCTTTGCACAAAGCTTCTGATGTTTCTATTACTCCTGTTATTTCTAGGCAATTGATTATCCAATCATGTGGCAGGAAGTCGAATGCTTTCCTGTAATCAGTCCAAACTACATTCAAGTTGGTCTTCCTTTTCTTAGTTTTCCAAAATCATCTTGTCGGTTAGGAGCTGATCTTTTGTTCCTCTGCTGTTTGGATGGTTTTCTTTTTGCTCAGGTGGAAAGAACTTGTTTTCAACTAGATTCTGTTGGACTGCATCCACTACCTCATCAGTTAGCTACTTGGAAGTTGTTGGTAAGCAGGCAATTGGCTTGCAGTTGCCTTTTGCCTCTATAATCCCCTATTGTTAGATCTTTCATTATCAGATAGGTTTTGCTAGATGTTAACCAGTCTTTGATTTCACCTCCTTTGCAATGTGTTGTTAAATTGTTTTTCAATGAGATGGCGTAGATATTTCAACTAAAAATGATGTATCTTATCTTCACCTGGTTCCTGACCAATTCTTGATCTTCCTTGCCCTTTTCTTCACCATTTCTGCTACTATTACCAATTCTTTCATTTCACTTTCTTTTTTATTCTTATCCACCTCCTTTACTCAACCTGAATTCTACTTGCATTTCCTTGGGTTGTCCATAGCTTCTGTAGGAGATGACCAGGCTGAGCCTGAGGGAGAGGTTAAATTCATAATTAGTCTTGAGAGCCTTTGGGCCCACAAATATCTAAGTCCAGCATACTTTGAATTCCATTGTCTCTTATTTACTGCCAATTTGCTTTGACCATTAGTAATTCAGATTCTTGTAGAGAGCATTAGTATTAACCTATATTCATTTGAACTACCTGGACTCCTGATTTCCTAAGTTTGACAGCTGCGCCCAGATCTGCTCTGCTTCTTCTTTGTCAGATGTTGACTGGTTCACTGCAGTATTTCCTCTGACGGATTGGTAGAAACATTTCTGATTTGACTGAAATTGGAGATTGTGCTTATGGTGTGCAATTAGAGATATATATCTGGTGATCTTCTTGGCTATAATTGCAATTTGGTTCTTTTTATTTCCAGTGCTTCCTTGATCTTCTTTCTAGGTAATATTTCTTGGGCAGATATGTTTTGGTTTTCATTTTCTTGTTCTACTATATCTTTTCTTTCATCTGTTTTAGCTTGTTTGGTTCTGATATTAGCATACTATCTTATTTTCCAACTCGATCTTCCGTTTGATGGTGCACTGGCTTTTTTTGTTGGTATTGCATCCCAGGTATTCAGTTATAACTGCAGCTGTGCTGTACATTAGTTGGTTTGTTTCTTGCAGTGAGCAGGTGGTTATATTTAATATTACAGCATTGATATCTTTCAATATTTGTGCTATTTTGTCAGGCTGCAATGCAGTCAACCTTATTTTGTTGCTTTTGTGCTCAGTTATTCTTCATTTCAATTCTTTTTCAGTTAGAGAGTTTCTTTCTGAGAAGGAAGAGGAGACTGGTACCTGGTTTGGGAATGAAAACAATATAATACCTAGGCTGGCTTCTTCTACTGCTGACTCCCCCTGATTTATCTCTACAGTCTGAGCTACATCTGGCAAGGCTTTGATTTCTTTGCTGTAGGAAGACCTTTGCAGTACTTCCAGTTCTGTTTCTGTGAATACTTTGTTTCATATTATAAATCAGCATTGATTGGGTAGCCTGTTTTCTGTCATTTCTGATTCTGCATGGTGTTCTTTCCAGAACTCATGTGTTCTTTTGGGATATTCTCTTCTTGTTGAATTTGATTTGTAATAATAGATCATTATTTTTTGTGTGTGTTTTCAATCTTTGTATATATTTCATGAGTAAAAAACTTCCAGTAGTCCTGCAACTTCTGGCTCTGCTTAGCCAACAGTCCTAAGTCCAGTACCTTATTTGTCATCAAATGTCCAGATACTCCCCATACCTGCTGTGGTTCTTATTGATCCCATATGGGTTTCTGTAAATTACATCTCATCATACTATTCATCTGGCTTCTCTGATGAGACCTGTCCAATATGGTTGAACCTCTGGCATAGCTTTCATTTTCCTTAGAACATACAACACCACAACTACATCAGGGTAGTTGTTCATTAGGGTTGTTATTACGTTGTCATACAACCACCAGATGTTTAGATCAGATTTGCATTTTTGTGCAGCTATTCAGTCCTATATTATTGTTAGTATTATTATAATATTTGTACTGCCCAGGTATTTAACAATTCTGGGCATTTCTTGGCACAAGGTATTGGATAATCATCCAGGATCAAACATACAACATATTTATTATGTTCAAATATATTCATATTCTCAGACTATGGAAAACTGAACCCAATCAAAATACTACAGATTGTAGTATTTTCCCATTCCCCATTTCCCAAAATCAACAAAATGCCAGTTGAGATAACAGGAAAACATTTGGATGGTCATATGTTCCAAATATGGACTGTTTAAGTAAGTGCCACATTGTATAGAACTTATGGGGTCCTATAAGCCTTTCTTAGTGAAACCACTCATAATATATGCTTCCAATTTCTCATTTCCTGTCTGTAATTTCACTCCTACATGTTGCCCATGCTTTCACGTTCTCACTGGTCTGTATAACTGTACTCCTGCACATTGTTCATGTTTTCAATTTATCATTGTCTGTCACTCCACTCATAGCTGCTGCATTAAAAGAAAAGTATAAAAACAAATCATTCTTTCCCTTCACTGTATTTATAGAATAAAATAAGTATCATCCCTAAATTATCCAAACTACTCATCTTTTATAGTTACTCATCACTCATAAACTTCCAACAAGGAACCCTTTACCTGCAAACAAGCAAATAAACAAGCAAGCAAGCAAGAGAAAAACAAATAACCTTATTAGAGAGGACTACCTGGATAACTCTTCTGGTTTACTTTGTTATCTAATCAGTGAAGTGGCCATCTCAGATGACAATTGGTATGGAGTAGCGACAAATTGAATGTTCATCAGGAAATAAAAAATGGTGTGTCATTAGAGTTGGAACTGCACAATAAGTTACTTACGTCTTAGATATGATGGAGAATGCCACTGTTGCTATTGTTAAAGTAAGATGTAGCTTCTGTAAATGGACTATGGGGAAGCTGCTTTTCTTCTTTGCCTTAGAGCAAAGAAGCACAGGTGGAAAAAAACCTGTGATGCTGTAGACAGTATCTAGTAATCAACCCCCTCCCCAGACCCACTATCACTATTTGCCTTTTGTAGGGTTTCTTTCTCAGTCTGATAAAGATTATGGAGGTCATTACATAAAAAGGTATCTGTAAACTTCTCCATGATTAGTGATTTGTCTTCTCAACAGTTTATAGGAAGACTCTGAGAATAATTCTCAGAAACTCTCTAACACAGCTCCATATTGAAAAGAGTTCTTTTTAAATAATTATTCTTATTAAATTTACAGATATAGAGATAAAAATGAATACAAAAAATGAAAATATAAAAGTAAAAAATCAAAAATGGTATGAGAAAAAAATTAAAAAGGAAAAATAAACCATACCCCCCATAAAAAAGAAAAAGGAATTCAAAGAATTACTTTCCCTTCACCAAGACAAATATAAACAATTTCACAATTTATCATCTTCTTGAATATTATAATTCTTTTCTTCCCATAGCTCATCTCTTATCTATAAAACCTCATTCAGTCCTCTTTGAGAAAAACCAATTAAATATATCAGAAAGAGCATCATATATATTTAAACTTGATCACATAAGACAACTTAATATTTCTTCCTTTTGCTTTTAAAAATATTTATGTTTATTCCCTTTAAAATATTTATTCCCTTTATTACTAGAAGTTAATTTCTTTTCACTTTGTCTTTTCTTAGGAATGCCTTCATATTTTATCAGATTTTTTTTATAAATCCAAGATAAGATTGTTGTCCGAGTCACTCTTCTGATTTATTATTTGTGTGTCTCTTATATTTATTGATATCAGCCAGTTTAATTTGTAAATCCAATGTAACATCTTTTCCCATATCATTCTTGTAATGTGTCATTTTAGATCCATATTCAAAACAACCTCAGTTTCAATCTTTTCTTCTATCACCTTTGTATACTAGCAAACGTATGAGACAGTTCTGAGTACATTGTTGCAAAATATCCTTGAATTCTCCCTGAGTTAAAATACTTATCTCCATCCTGTATTACTGAGTCTCTCGCCTTTAATTTCAATCTTTAGTTCTTTCTGATTGCCTCTGGTGTCCAGCCTTCAAAGTTTCTTAATATGTTTTTATCTAATGTGCATTTTGTCATGGAAAGATTTCTTATACTTAGATTCGAAATCTTCATATATTTTAATAAGATTTAAACAACCCACTGGAAGGATTCTTATATTTAATTTCAAAATCTTATTTCTAATGCATCTGGCCCCCTAGTCTGTTTATAACTTTGCAAAATCAACATTTTGATTACACTTTTGCTATTTGTTTGTTTGTTTTTTTAATGAGTTCTTACATGAAACTTACTTTGCTGAGGATTAAAGGAGAATTACCTGGTGTGATGAAAGCCAAAATCTACCATGATTGATGTATTTACAGATTGCTGTAGGAATAAAAACTTAAGACAGAAGAAGGGTTTTTTAAGTCAAATGACTGAATTTGAAACACTTAAACATAACCAAGATGCATGTATTAATAAGTCTACTATGTCGTGCGTATAAATTGCTATTAAAATATGACAAGCAGATAGAAAAAGTAGACAATTGTATGATAAAATTAATACAAATGTTTAAACAGTTACAGCAATGGTAAGACTTACCAAAAATACTCATAAAATTTACCACGTGCTATAAGTTTAAAAAATGGTAAAAAAATATTTTATAAAAGATACAATAGTTGCAAAGATCCTTCAATAATTGAACAAATAGATAAATTATACAACAGAAAATTCTGAAATGTGACGATACAGAAGGAACAGTTTATCATGTGTAATAGTCATGTAAAAAATATCCCCACAAAAGTACTGGAAAGAAATACATAGCATTATTTAAAAAAAATAAAAATGAAGTTTGAATTGAAACACCAGGTTTATTTTCTAAACTAGTAATTGTTTCACGGTAAATAAAAGAAAAAAATAACTATTTAATGAGACATATGTTGATGACTGCAAGGGAAAAGAGAAAAGAGACACTTTGCAGGCAATATCAGACTTGAAAACCAAATTTGGGAAATGCTCAGCCGTGTAAAAAATAATAGTATAAATTCAGAAGATAGATTTTATTAAATTTTAGCAAGAATAGCTCACCTATATATCAACATCATACAACAAGCTAACATTGGACACTTAGAGTACAGTTTTTAAGAGGGAAATAATTGATGTAAAGGCAGTAATTAGAAACAGTTCCAATGTTTCCAAATATGTGAATGCAATCATCACTTGGGTACAGTGGAAGGGAATTTAAAACAATGTAGTTTCCCAACATTGTTTTTACTATTGCTCCTTTCCTTTATTTATTAAATTTATTATTATTTCCTTCAAAATATGACAAATATGACAAATAGTGGTGTTATCAATATTATCAGGCTTACAGTTTTCTTTAAGAAGGCATAAGCTTAATTCTATACATATATTTATTTAATTTTGAATTGCATTAAAATTGTAAAAATCATATATATTTAATGATGTTTTATTGTTGACATGTTTTTTTGTCTTTTTAATGTATTTATTTATTCTC